CGGGCGTCGCCCAGCGCCGCAGGGCTGGTAGGTGCACCACGGCGCGGGGTTGGGTGCTAGAGCTGCTGCGGGCATCGGGTACTTCCGGATCCGGCAAGGTACGAGCAGCCAGAACATTTCTAGCTCTAGGCAGGCTGCTTAAGGGCCTGTGAAAGCATATTGACCGGGGCCTCTGGCTTTCTACAGCCCGCTCCTGTGGGAGGCTGCGTTGCTTGAGTCCTTCCTGGCTGGTTTTGTCGGTTTCTCTTCACATAAGTATGGCTTGGCAGAGAGAGTGGGCCTCCAGTGCTGCAAACCTGATTCTTGCCTCATCTGTAATGATGAATAAGTATCACAATGACCCTGACCCCTGAAAAGGCTCTTAACATGTGTTTAGTTATCAGCTTTACATTGTTTTTTGAAAAGCTTAGAGCACTTTTCTTGCTAGTTTATTGCATTCTTTATTTACAGACAGCTGAATACTAACCAAAAATCATTCAGAATGATGGATATGTGATCATCAAATTGGGACAGTCAGGCCTTTAGAGTGAGGGAATGTAGAATGCCAGACTCGGGATCCCCACTGCTAAGCTTAGCTTAAGGACTCAGCTTTAAGTGTTTATAAAACTGTGTTGTTTCAATTTTGAGGTAGTCCAGGTAGTAGTGGAAAGAGAGGTGAACTCAAATCTTCAGTCTGCTTTTAATGGTATTCATATTAGTGTATGACTCCATGGTTGGGTAAAAGGAAACTTAAAAAGAGGCTGTCATAAAAAATACTATGTTGTCAAGTGTTGCTATCAACCATGATGCTTTTTATAAAAAAAAAAGTGCTGATAGGCTCTTCTGGCTCTTAAAACTTACATTCTGTTTTGGATATCTCAAAATATTTCCTTAATGAACTATCAGGTACCGTTGCAGTAATTACTTCTGATGGAAGAATGATTGTGGTGAGATTTGTATTTTTTATCACTTTAGTTTCCCCCAAACTTCCCATCATGGCAATAACAAAACTGCACTAGGATATTATCACTTACATGTCAACATCTTTACAAACTTCTTTAAAAAAAGTTTTGTGGCCACTGTTTATATGTTATGATTTAAGCACTTACTGATCTTGCATGTCAGCTTTGTCCATTGATAAACTTGTGCATACAGATACTGACTTTCTGTCAAATAGCATTTTCTATACGAATGCACAAGAAAATGCATTTATTTTTCTATCCATTAATTTGGTTTCCATCTAAAATATCCTATTTGTTAAGTAAGGTCTTCAGCTTTCATGCTAAATGTATTTCTTCATACGGTTATAGAAAATAATTGCTGAGGAATTACTGTGGGATTCTCTTTAAGCCTGAAAAGCAGAGGATTGGCAAACTATTGTAGCTTAGACTATAATGTTTTGGTTTTATTGCTGCTTTTTTTTTTTTCTTATATTCCTTCTCCCTCCCATCTTTTCTTTTGTGTTTTGAGTTTAACTTAATTGTGTAACTGTATGACAGTTGTATCTTTCTGCCTGTACTTAGCTTTGTGCATCCTACGGAAAGAGAAAACTTTTTAGCAGAAAAATGGTAGCTTCACTGAATCTTCTATCTGGACTCAGTCTGATGAACTTTGTGTTGTGGTACAAGATACTTTCTACCAGAAAGATTTTAATGGAATGGGTATATGTGAATCACTCTCACATGGCTAGATTATATAAATGGATATTACCACTGTTTGAATGGTGGTATTTTTACATGAATTTAAATTCTTAATTACTGATGATAAGTTAGACAAATCAGTTATGTTATCATTTTTCCAAACACCTATTGAAGTGGCAAATAAGTTCTTCCTTTTGTATGTTTTTAAGTAATTTTGTGAAACTAAGCTAATCTCCTTCCACCACTTAAAATTGTGGTGAAGAATCTTTTCAAATTTATTGACCACAAGAATCTCACTCTTCAGTTTATTTATTTAATTAACTATTTGATTTCTGGAAGACTAAAATAGGGTAAAAATAGTAAAATTAGTTGTCTAGAGGGCTGTCATTGGTAACAGAGGAACTTCTTCTAATGCTAAAGATTACTGTTGATTTTAGCATGAACACTCAGTAGTAAATATAGATACTTTTCTTAATTATTGCTTTTAAAGTTTCATTTACCAGCTGTTTGTGTTTTAGCCTAGCAATAAAACCTAATTGAAGCATCTGTTCTCTAGTACTTTAGTACTGCCACCTTGTTTGAGAGATCCTTGAGAGAAAAGATGATCAATTTAAAAGGTAATTGGAGTGCCTTTTTTTTTTTCAGGGAACCCTCAAAGGTTTTGATCAGACCATTAACTTGATTTTGGATGAAAGCCATGAACGAGTGTTCAGTTCTTCACAAGGAGTTGAGCAGGTAGTGCTGGGATTATACATTGTAAGAGGTGATAATGTGTAAGTATAGTATATTCTTGTTTAAACCAATTAATAAAAGTTTAGTGTCTGTCTTCATATGCGCGTGTGTATATATGTATTATGTATCTGTATACATCTCGATGGCCCCAGACATCTTGCATCTTTGTATCTGTGAGTAGCAATGATAGTACTGTCAAAGCTGAGGCATATTAAATAACAAATATCTGTGCTTCTGTTACAGAATTAATTGCATTGTCATTTTAAGATATTGGTAGTCTAGATTTACCAAACTGTAAATTAACTAGTTCAGGTACTGGTAGCAATCTCGGAAAGGTCAATATAAAGCTCAGCATTTTCCTTTCTTGAGTCCAGGAACTGCATAGATTTTATTCTACTTTGTGAAAGGCAGGATCCATTGATGGAGGAAGAGCTAGAAGAATGAACAAGGGATGAGATAAAATTTGTGTGCAAAAAGTCACGTATACAAAGTTGACTTTTAGTGAGACTTTTTTTAAATGAGGTGGTCACAGAGAACACTTTATAGTCTGGAAAATGCATGAAGGTTCTGGCCTGACAGTGTAATAGCTGTTTGAGCTGATGTAGTGACAAGTGGAATGTATGATTTGATAATTGATGTAAAATGCCCTGACAGAATGAGAGTAAAAGCTTATTAAATGCAGAGGAGAGTAGCTGATGTGCCAAACAGATGGGAGGGCTATGAGAGAAGTGGAAAGGCCTGGTAAGTGGGCCTGCTAGGCAGATGACTTTTGCAGCAGCTTTCTGAAACTGATAGCAAAAAATGAGATTATTTTTTATCACAACTGAATAAAAGAGCATGTCACAGTGACTAACATTGGAGCCTGCACAGGAATTTTAACCTTCTAATTTTAATGGTTATTTCTGTACAAAGAAATGTCAAGACTTAGATTTATATGTAGATGTGTGTATCTAATGTTAATTGAGAAACCAGATCATTTCGGAAGGCTTTCAACACTTTTGACTTAAGCTTTGAAGTAAAACTAAATAAATTGTCAAATGTAGGGCTACTCTAATCAGGCTACACAAACAGTAAGTTTTCATTCAAATATTCCAAATATGTATAAAAAGCCAAATAATTGTTTAGTAGTTGATTTTTTTACCTTACCAGGCTGCCACATTATTCAAATATACTCTCAAAGCATTCTTTCATAGAAATTATTCTCTTTTTGTGTAACCTTAAACTTGGAAACATATTCATTGGGAGAGAGTAATTCTGTAAGTAAAGGTTGTTGGAAGGAAAATGATAATTTCTGTTTTAGAAGTGTGCAGTGGACTGGGAAAACAAACAAACAAAAAGATTGTGAAGAAAAGCTGGTGAAAAACCCAAAACTCCTAAATGCATGTGTTTGTTTTGCTGCATGAGAAGCAGAAAGCCTATAAAAGAGACATCAGAAGTGGCAGTTACTGTTTGGTTTTTTCACATCTAGGAGAATGAGATCTCTGATAAAAACAGCTGTATTTCTTCATGTGAACTGAAGAGGAACTTATGCTTTGTTATCATAGTTTTTAATCTAAGAAAGAATATTATTGGTTATTAGGAAGAAAATTAAACCAGCAGACATTGTCATGTCATTGTGTAAACACCTGGTATGCCACTGACTTTAATGCATGAAGAGTGCAAGTGAGAATAACTAGAGGTATGAAATGTTTTCTGTCAAGAAAAGGCTGAACAGACAAGAGCTCTTCAGTTTGAAAAAAGCACAGCTATAGTGATTACTGGTTGCTGTGAAATCAAGAGTAGTAGGAGGAGATGGGAAAATAATTGCTTTATTTAAATTCCTCAAGTGCTTTCTGTTACTGAATATGGAAGATAATCTGACAAGTTATGTATAAAGACATCTCACTGCACACTGTAAAACTAATTGTGGAACTCACTGCTGCAGGATGTAGCAAAGACCAAAAATGGCAATTTATTCAGCAAGCTATTGGATGGATTAATATAACTTAGTTTCTAATGGCTGTTAATTCATTTTTTGGATACAGCCACTAGCTCATAAGACTGAAGTGGTGACTAGAAGGGTATACCAGAAGACTTAGACTCTTTGTTCTTAGGTTTCCTCTGGGTTAGCTCCCATCCTGAGCTAGTATGATTTTTATTGCCTTAACCTTCTTTTCTCTTCAAAGCAGTTTTACTGAGTCAACTATTGTTTTAGTCCAGGTAAGTCTTAACATAGCATAGGTGAAATATTATATATTCTCCCTTGGATAAATGAATAATGTTTTACTAGGCTGTGTTGAAGGAAGTTGTCTTGCTTATCTGATGCTGTATGCATTTACGAAATTGCTACAGTTAAACATTGCTCTTGAAAAGCTGTATTCTCATTAAAAGGTTTCCAGTTCTTGTTTCAGAAGGTAACCTGCTGCCTAAAACAGACTGATAGTAGTTAGTTCTTACAACCTATATCTTAAAACGAAACAAATAAAAAACTTCCTTTAAACTCTTATAGCCATCAGAATTTGAAGTTCAAAGGATAGAACTCTACAATTTTTAATTTTTTTTACGGTAGGTCTTCACTAGCAAGTTAATTTTGTGGCTTTCCAGATTTGCACCAAGGGATTACAGCAAATGATAACCTGTTTTTTATTGCAGTGCTGTCATTGGTGAAATTGATGAAGAGACAGATTCAGCTCTTGACTTGGGGAATATTCGAGCAGAACCTTTAAACTCAGTTGTGCATTGAGAGATGAAAGTGCACAAGGACTTTGTAAATCTTTGGTTGTACAGACCTATTTAACAGTGTGGATGATTTTTACAAATTGTGTTTAAATTGTTTAGTCACCAGTTTTTTATTATGGATATGTTGTAGTTTGGCATGTAAATTAAAGTTTCTACGTTTTACTAAAGATGCTTTCATTGAATTTCCTTTGAGATTTCATGCTACATAGTTTCACTGTAAGATGCATACTGGGAAATGCAAGCAATATCGGTGATAGTCCTGATATTGTGTGTAAATACCTTGTTCTTAAAATAAGCTTGCATTGTTAAAGGTAAATTGGGTCTCTCTGTGTTAACTCAGGATTATTTGGAGATAGATTGTGTAACAATCAGTTTAACCATTTCTAAAAGTAGTTCTGCTGTGAGTAGAAAATGGTTTTGTGATTTATTTTTTGTGTGGTGCAGAAAGCAATGTTAAAAGCTTTCACACTCGCATTAATGACTTATGCATGTAATAAGGGTTTTTTGTTGTTTATTTAACGTTGTTCTCTAGTCCCCAAGACTATACTGGAGGTGCAGGAGTTCTTAATGCCTTAATGCTTGCAGACAAATTAAATTGGAGAAAGGCTTCTGAGCAGGAACACAAGAGCATAAACCAAATGTACACATTTATTTGAAGCCCATTAAATTCCAAACAAATGGATTCCCCATCTTCTCATCTCAGCAGCTGTCATGATGGTCAAAATTTGGGCAAGATCTAGAGAAAGAGAATTGTGTTTTTGCTAACGTGTAACCGTTGTCTTGTTAGAGTGTAGTTTAGAAAGCACAGGAGTACTTTAGATAGGGAAATTACTTCTTTTGAGTGAAATTTGCCTTAATATTGAATATAAGGATCACATGTAACCGTAATAGACCTCTTATACATCAGCAACAGCCAGGTTAAGTGGGACAAGCTCTGTGCAGTGATGTGTGTTTTAGGCCACATCCTGTTGACTACCCAGTGGGAATACTGATATGGTGGCAGTAAGAGGAGATCAATACTATTGGACAAAGCTATTTTCCTGGTCATCTAGTGTGCCAAGAGGTAGGATATTTCCCCCCATATATATAAATACGCTGTAAAAAAAATATGCAGTATTTTAATGTGCATATTTGAGTTTTTATATTGATTTTAATATGAAGTGGAATTTGGTACTTTTCATTGCAAGTTCACTGTTTGGAAAGCAAATGCATTGAACTGCAGGAAACGAGGAGTAGTATTGATTGCAAACTGCCTTTGCTTTGTTCTTGCTAGAGGGAAAAGTATTCTCAACAAAACATTGAATGATGTTTGTTCTCCATGAATCTGGCTCTCAGTTCTTGTAGCTTACAACTTGTATTCTGAGATTGTTCTTGGTGGAGCATGTAAGCCCACCAAACCTTTTTTTGCCTTTATCAGTCTTGTGACCTAGTAAAGTAATGTCTTATAGTTTTCTGTCCACACTTCTGCAGGGAATTGCTGAGCAGGCATTGAATAAGGAAAATCAGAGTTCTTCTGTGAGTACTGAAAGGCAGTAATGACTATAATTTATTATGTCAAAAGAATTATGTTTCATTAAACACTCAACAAAATTGTGTATAATGAAAAGCTGTTTTGCTACTGAAACACTGATATTGGCTCAAGAAAAAAGAAAATGTAGAAAGTGAATTGTGTTGATAAAGGACAAATAAAGCAGAAGATGTAAATTAGCTACTTTAGGACTCAGCAGAAAAAATACATAGGCAAAGCAAGTAGAATCAGCATGAGCTCATTTTAAATGCACTACTTAGCTTTGGATGTATTAGGAGAGTTATAGTTGAAATACATAAGTTAAATACTTGTAGAAGTACTAGAATGACTAAGGAAATCTGTTGCTTTATAGCTGAGGAATTATGTTTGAAGCTGTGTTGTGGGATGTTATTGTATATGGAGACCATCTGCCTCGAGCACGTGATTTGCGATGCAACTCCTTGGTTGTGTGTTTTGTTGAGAACTTAAATATGATGAGCTGCTGCTGCTGCTTGAAACTATTTTATCTATACTTGAAGTGATGATTTCAGATGCAAAGCTGTGGAACCAGGGTGCTGAAGCTGATCAGTAAAATCCAGGCACTGACTAGATTAGAATTCTGAGTAGTTCAGGAATTGCTGAAGCAGGAAAAACATGATGTGGAAAATAATAGTTTCACACAGTTAGGTGTTTAAAACACAGATTGCAAACCCTGCCTTCTTCCATTCAGGTGAGTGACCTCAGTTCTTGCATGCACTCTCTGAACCTGTGAAATTGTGTGTGTAGGGTACAAGAAGAGCCCTACTGAAATAGGAAAAACAGGTCGTAGTCCATAGTGTTCTTGGAACCTGTCTTTTCCTGCAAAGAGCCTAGATTAAAGATCCAATAAATAACAAGTGATGTTCACTAAAATCCAATGAGTCTTTGCAGAGTAATAAACCAATTTTACGAAAATGAGCAGGTCAGAGAAAGGTGATGCTAAGGACAAAAGGAAGTAATGCTGAATTGGAGGTAATTGTCATATTCCTGCATTGCCAAAGGTTGGTCACTTCCTCCCTTTGTTTGTTCAGTAGAGATCTTGGAGTGAAAGGACAAGTCTTGACTAGTACTGGGAAAGGATGCCTCCAGTGAAATGACTGAGCTGGCCTCTAATGAGAGGAATTAAATTAATCTGATATGTATGAAACAATGCAGAACCCATCTTCTGTGGTCCAAGGGCAACTTCCCTAATTGCAGTCCCCATGAAGTCCCACCATGTCAGGTTCACATAGTTGCAATCAAAGTTCTTCAAATATGTGAACTTCCATATCCTTCAATATTCTGTGTGACC